TATATTAAATTGGAACTCAAATTCAAACAACATTACCTCGAGTTTCAACATATAATAGAACTTTTAGGCAAAAAATAAATAAATCAATGATAAATTAAAACAATTTGTACAATATAAATTTTTTAAATTTTTTTAAAAAGTTAATGCTGGTATACTCAGGAAAGTTGACGCCCAATTCAAGCCTCATTAAGAACTACTATAAAGTATCAAACAAGAGCTATAATTAGCAAAGAAATGGGATATAGAGAATTCGAAGGGCAAACAAACTTATCAAAGAGGATATACATAATAAAATATCACCCACTTAGAGCTATTGTTGAAGATTGTATATATTTGCTGGAAATCAGCAATGACACTACTAATAGCCTATTTGGCCAAGCTTCTTTAAACTTAGAAGTATATTTTTTTCAAAAAAAGTATATTTTTTTAAGTTGAATTGTTTGGCTATGTTTTTTGAAGGGAAAAAGTGCTTTTGAGGAAAAACAGAAACAATTTCGGAGAAACAGAAAGAAATATCTTCTCTCTAAAAGCAATTTCTTGAAAAAGCATTTTTGAGCAAAATACACTTAGAAATATTTTTTAAAAGTTTGGCCAAGCACTAATTGTTGATCATAAGTGTTTTTCAAATTAATTAACCAAACACAAACTGCTTATCAGGAAAATAAATTTTGAAAAATATTTAAACACTTTTAAGAAAAGACACTTCCTAATATAAGTTAATTTTACAAGCTTGGCCAAACAGGCTACAAATGTATTGGAGGGAGGCAAATAAATATGCATATTTTCTGACAAAGATGATCAAAGACTTGAATGAAAATTTACTATTCTAGGAAGATACATTCAAGAAAATGGAGTTTCTTTCTCCTAGTAGATTTGAGTTATGTATCTTATGGAAGATAAATGTAAAAAGGCTTTTTTGTCTTCCTAATGTACGAGGAAAAACACATGTCCACCTAAGCACGTTTCTTTGACTTCCATGCATGTTCTTATGTTCGAGTGAAGAGAAAAGTATTTCATGGACGAAGTGACTCAACCAAGCAAGAAAATTTTCAGATCTTGATTTATCATGTAACATTCTTTTTCAATGTAAATATTGACTCTCGTGCATATTGTGATATATATGTTCAAGGTGGAAGAAAAGTATTTCATGGACTAGGTGACTCATTCAAATGGGAAAATTTTTATTTTTTATTTTGACATGTATCATTACTTTGAGTACGCCACGTCTCGAGGATTGCACCTTCCCAGTCATATTTGAGTTTACACCTTTTAAAACACTGATTTTAGAGGGTATAAGAAGAGTTTAGTGTTAGTTGGGAGCTTATTACAGAAGCTTGGGATTATTAATACAAGAATTTTAGACAGGACAAATATTTATTTTGAAGGAAAAGGAACAAATATGTAGCAATCTTAAGCTAATTTCATTATATATATAAGAAGGTTCTGCATGATTTGATTTGGTTTTAATTTTACTTCCTAAAATATTTGCGAATGCTCTATATATATTTTACGAATCGATCGGAAATTTACGATGTTAATTTCTATAATATCCAGAATATTCCAAAATATAGTCTTCTATGTAGCATTTCTGAACACCTCCAGTCCAGTTCAATACTCTCAAGTTCAGGGTCGGAGCTAGAGCTTCGGTAACGGGTTCGGCCGAGCCCAGTAGCTTTAGTGCAAATCTTTATATTTGTCTTAAGAAATTATTGAATAAGTATAAATTCTTACTTTAGAACTCAGTAACATAAAAATGTTAGAATCCTGAACACAATAACTTCAAATCCTGGCTCCGCCTCTACTAAAGTTCCAAATCTACCGCGCGCCCACCAGAGAAGGAAATAAATTAAAAAAATAATAAAAGTGGGAAAAAAATGGAGACATTTTTTTCTTTTCCACAAGTTAGGCTGAATTGCATATATGATCGTAACTTCTATTGTGAACCAAAGAAAAGGATTTTGGGAAAAAATATACTACTGTAATTTGTTCTCATTCAGCTTTTGTGTTTGTTTTTTCAGAAGTTACAGTGAGACCGTAAGTTGCAAAGTCATTTTCGATACAAAAGAGTTTTTTATTTTGTCTACTTCAGTTTCAAAAGGTCAATGGACACGATATTTTATTCTATACCTTCTTATATAGACTTATGTATCGTTAATGGAGTAATAAATTACAGAAAAAATATACTCCTACTATATTTGAGAAGACTTTTCTATTGTGAACATTAAAACCTTCTAGACCTAAAGTATTTAAAACCTTATTATCTTTAACGTGTCATTAAACTGAGAAGGTTAAAATTAAAATGTCTTTAAATATAAGAATTTGTCTAAGTATATAGAACAGAGAACCAAATACATATAAGGGAGAAGAAAAAGTTCTTGATAGGCCAGGTGTCTCATTGAAGTAGGAAAAGTTTGGTTTTGTTGACTTGACATGTAAAATGTTTTGTTTTTACTGAAATATAACACTCTTTCAGTAACGACGGTAAAATGTTTTGTTTTTAAGCATTTCTTGGTGCAACGAACAACCATGGACATCAAAAATACAATTCTTCTCCTTTTCCTGCAACTTTTGCTATTCTCGTGCTTTTCTCTTGCAGCTAACACAAATAGCACGAACCAGAATTTTTCCCTAGGAGATAGGCTTGATGCAGAGAAATCCATAACTATTGGCGTAACCATGGTCTCTTCAGGTGGAATCTTTGAGATGGGCTTCTTTACGTTAGGTAATCGTTCCAACTATTATATTGGTATATGGTATAAACAAATAACTCCGCAAACCACAGTTTGGGTAGCAAATAGGGAGACTCCTGTTTCTTTTACCGAAATGGACACCGCACAGCTCAAAATTATACAAGGAAACTTGGTGCTTCTCAACGGGTCTGGACTCTCAGTTTGGTCGACAAATATTATAAATTACTCAAGCACGTCGACGAAATCTGAAGTGGCGATTCTTCGTGATGATGGGAATTTAGTTTTGAACAACGGGTCCAATTCATTGTGGCAAAGTTTTGATCATCCGAGCGACACTTTTTTGTTTGGTTCTAAACTTGGATACAATAAAAGAACTAAAACAAAGCAAGGTCTCACTTCTTGGAAGAACTCTGAAGATCCTAGTCCAGGGCTATTTTCCTTTGAGATGGAGCCTATTGGTGAGCTCATTCTTAGGTGGAATAAAACTGTACAGTACTGGTCAACTGGACCTTGGAATGGACACACCTGGGCCAACGCGCCACTAAAATCAAATCCTACGTACAACTTCTCATACATAAACAACACGGATGAGGTCTATTTTACATATTTTATCTTTAATCCTTCAGTCTTAACAAGATTCATAATAGATGTCACGGGGGAAATTAAGACTCTTACATGGTTGAATAGTACCAAGCAGTGGAATATGTTTTTGACTTTACCAGAAAAACCATGTGATGTATACGGTTATTGTGGTGCATATGGTGCATGTAGTGACAGCTCAAGTAGTACACCCTTGTGTGGTTGTTTGCCTGGTTTCACTCCTAAGTCAATCAAAGATTGGAATTTAAACAAATTCTCTGGTGGTTGTGTAAGGAAAACAAGTCTAAAGTCATGTGGTAATTCTAGTGCTTCTACGTATACTTTGGAGGAGGACAAGTTCTGGATGCACCCTCATATGAGATTACCTGTTGATAATCACACTCAGAGTTTTGAGAGTGCATTAGAATGTGAATCCATTTGTTTAAAGAATTGCTCTTGTACTGCTTATGCTTATGATGACAACAAATGCTTAACTTGGGAAGGAGACCTCTTCAACTTGCAACAACTCTCTCAAGATGATATTAGTGGAATGACTATTTATGTCAAACTAGCTGCTTCTGAGTTTTCAGTTCCCAAAGGTATTCAGAAATTATTCAGCCTCTCCGGTTACAAGTATTACAACAATAACAACCCAGACCTTACCCATTCCCTGGGTAGAGAGGTTGTTTCCGATAGACTCTCGGCTCCCACCCTCCAAGAACTCCCCACCTTCCTCTTGGGGTGATTCGAACTCACAACCTCTTCGTTAGTTGGAAGTGGAGAGTGCTCACCACTAGAGCAACCCACTCTTGTCAAGTATTAGTTATTTAATAATTTTATTTTAGTTATTTATGCTTTTGCCACAGTAGTTGAAGACCAAACACACAAGTCAAGAAGGCTAAAAGTTGCTCTTCCTACTACAATTGCCACTAGTCTTTTACTGTGCAGCTTCATCTACCTATTTTGTAGAACAAGGAGAGCGAGAACAAAAGGTACATAAGTGCAAATTCTCTGTTCTTGATGAATTATACAGGGCTTACTTCAAAATTATATATTCTACCCTTTTCTTAATTTCTATCAAGAAAATCTGCGACCAAGCTGGTTGAATACTGAAGAGGGAGAAAACAACATAATAAATGAAGAGGATGAGAAAGGCATTGAAGTTCCATTCTTTAGTTTGGAAAGCATTTTAGCAGCGACGAATAACTTCTCAGATGAAAATAAGTTAGGACGCGGTGGTTTTGGTCCTGTTTATAAGGTTATCATTTTATTTTTTTTAATTAAACCTTTTATTTATGAGCTATGTATTTGTTAACCTAATATAATTGACTGAAAATGTTTTCAGGGAAAACTTGAAGGAGGAAGAGAAATCGCAGTTAAAAGGTTGTCAACTGAGTCGAGTCAAGGAATAAATGAATTCAAGAATGAAGTAGTATTGATTGCAAGACTTCAACATCGAAATCTTGTTAAACTTATGGGTTACTGCATTCAAGGAAATGAAAAGATCTTACTCTATGAATATATGCCAAACAAAAGTTTAGACACCTTCATTTTTGGTTAGTCTTCGCATGATTTCTTATTTCACAATATAAACTGCGATTCTTATAATTGCTTATTACCATTTTTATAATGTTAAATGCACAAGATGAAAGACATCATGTGTTATTAGATTGGAAGAAGCGACTTGATATCATCTTTGGAATTGCTCGAGGGCTTCTTTATTTGCACCATGATTCAAGGTTGAGGATCATTCATAGAGATTTAAAAACAAGCAACATATTATTGGATAAAGAGTTGAATCCTAAGATTTCAGACTTTGGTTTAGCAAGGATCGTCCAAGGGAATGTTACAGAAGCAAATACAAACAAAGTTGTGGGAACGTAGTAAGGCTATCGATTCTGAAATCACTCTAATTTTACTACTTGAATAAATTTTTTTTTTGGCAAAGAGGGGAAACCCGAAGCCGCTATAATCTTTGCCACAGCGTCTGCCCTTCGGGTAAGCACTCTGTGGTGAGCACTTTGTGTGCACTGAGTAAACCTCTCCCTGTGTAATAGCCTGCAAATCACACAGGGGATGAAAACCGCACTAGGTAAGCCTTGTGCGATATGCTCAACCCAGAAGGCATTGAGGGGGGAATCGATCTCAGGTCATCCGTATGGATAACCGCCCTCCAAACGCAACTGGGCAACCCCGAAGGGTACTACTACTTGAATATTTAATCTATCACTTCTTAAAACTTTTGGTGATATTATTAATAACTTGTTGTTTTATAGTGGTTACATGTCTCCGGAGTATGCATTAAATGGATTATTCTCAATCAAGTCAGATGTTTTTAGTTTTGGAGTAGTTATGCTTGAAATAATATGTGGCAAGAGAAATACAGGATTTTATCACAGGGAGGAAGCCTTAAACCTATTAGGTTATGTAAGTGAAGATTTCTTAAACTCTAGGTTCTCTTCTCTCTTTTTTTTCCTTTGAATCTTTAGTTAATTGGTAATTATATTACCTCTTTTCCTAACTCTAAAGTTACATTTCAGGCATGGAGATTATGGAACGAAGAAAATGCTATGAGTTTAGTTGATGCATCATTACTTGAATCATGCAATGAGGAAGATGCATTAAAATGCATTAATATTGCGCTCTTGTGTGTCCAAGAAGATGCTGGCATTCGTCCAAGCATGCCAGATGTAACTATAATGCTTAGTAGTAAAAACACATCTCTTCCAAAACCTAATAAACCTGCTTTTACAGCAAGAACACGTGCTTGTAGCACATCAACTTCGCCGTCTAGTAAACTATACATCAACTCCAACAATGAGTTGACAGTTACCTTAGAGGATGGCCGATAGCCCGACATTCAAAATTGATTGGGTTTATCCTAAATATGAATTGGCAGAAACTAGAAAGTATACTCCATATTGTAACGGATAAATTTATCGCAACTTTCCCTAAACTAATCTAATAGGTTTCTTTGTTTGTCTCTTGTTTGCTCTTTCTTCTTTCTGAACATTATTTTGTTCTTTTAAGTAATTTTTTGATCTGACGATTTTGGTTTTTCATTTCATTGATGTATTTGTCCGTGTACTTTTGGTTCTACCATGATGTAAAGGAAGATTCTATATGCAATCAGACTTATATGTAACAATAACCCTCGATAATGCTAGCATGTTATTATGACTGCAAACTTTAATTTGGAACTAATTTTTATGGTATATTTTATCTATTTGTAACAACCTTTTATTTATAATAGCAACATTGATTATTCTAACAATATATTCTTTTTAAAATTTCCTTTCTATAACATGCAAATACTTTTTATTCGTTATTCTATTATAACCAAAAGAGTCATTTATTAATTATATTTTATTAGAGACATAACTTTAATAAATTTTGTGAGTTTCTAAGAGGAATTTGGAACGACAAAAACTCTTGTTAATTTAGAAGGGGAGAAATTAAAAGATGAAGTTAAAACTTTGTGTATCCTACCATTTTCCACACATTCCACCTTATTAATATTGTATTAGTTTTTTTAAATATAATTTTAATTGATGAAATATGAGTTTCATTTGAGATTTTAAAATTAAATAATTTATTGTCTTTTACACCTTAAACAAATTGGAAAAATAAATCTTGGGTATTTGATGTTCGCCAGACAATGCATATATTTAAGTTATTTAACCATTGTTGCCTCACGTTTTAGTTTTTTTAATCATCTTTTGAGTTTTAATTATATTACTTTATACTTAATATTATATTTTAATTGTATAGAAAAAAAACGATGTGAAGATGAATAGATTTGGAGCAAAATTAAATAATACGCTGAAGAAAAATAAAGGAAATAAACCAATGAAATAATGAGAAGAGGAGAGGGGGACACCTTTTGGTGTTTGTCCCCCCCCCCCCCCCCC